TTCTTATAATTAAAAATATCACAATCCAAACAAATAAACTGTTTTTACCTAAGGTAAAGTGTCAAATTTGAGAGATTAATGCAATTTGCTAAAGCAGAACCTAAGCCTGATGCACCCATTGCACCAATTTAATTGTAACTTTTTAAATATTGAAGAAAAAATATATCATTAAATAGTTAATTAGAAGGAAAAAATGAAGAAAAAATTTGAAATAATAAGATTAATTAATTGATAATTAAGGCAAAATTTGAAAATAAAGTGATGAGCTAAATTAACAAAGAAAGAAAGAACAAAAAAAGCAAGCACAATAAAAAGAAAAAGAAAAAAGAGCTTTGTTGTTTTAAATTAGTTCTTATAATTAAAAATATCACAATCCAAACAAATAAACTGTTTATACTAAAGCTAAAGTGTCAAATTTGAGAGATTAATGCAATTTGCTAAACCAGAACCTAAGCCTGACGCACCTTCATCACCAATTTAATTTTCACTTTTTAAATATTGAAGAAAAAATATATCACTAAATAGTTAATTAGAAGGAAAAAATGAAGAAAAAAATTTGAAATAATAAGATTAATTAATTGATAATTAAGGCAAAATTTGAAAATAAAGTGATGAGCTAAATTAACAAAGAAAGAAAGAACAAAAAAAGCAAGCACAATAAAAAGAAAAAGAAAAAAGAGCTTTGTTGTTTTAAATTAGTTTTTATAATTAAAAATATCACAATCCAAAACAAATAAACTGTTTTTACCTAAGGTAAAGTGTCAAATTTGAGAGATTAATGCAATTTGCTAAAGCAGAACCTAAGCCTGATGCACCTTCATCACCAATTTTATTGTAACTTTTTAAATATTGAAGAAAAAATATATCATTAAATAGTTAATTAGAAGGAAAAAATGAAGAAAAAAATTTGAAATAATAAGATTAATTAATTGATAATTAAGGCAAAATATGAAAATAAAGTGATGAGCTAAATTAACAAAGAAACAAAGAACAAAAAAAGCAAGCACAATAAAAAGAAAAAGAAAAAAGAGCTTTGTTGTTTTAAATTAGTTCTTATAATTAAAAATATCACAATCCAAAACAAATAAACTGTTTATACTAAAGCTAAAGTGTCAAATTTGAGAGATTAATGCAATTTGCTAAACCAGAACCTAAGCCTGATGCACCTTCATCACCAATTTTACTGTAACTTTTTAAATATTGAAGAAAAAATATATCATTAAATAGTTAATTAGAAGGAAAAAATGAAGAAAAAAATTTAAAATAATAAGATTAATTAATTGATAATTAAGGCAAAATTTGAAAATAAAGTGATGAGCTAAATTAACAAAGAAAGAAAGAACAAAAAAAGCAAGCACAATAAAAAGAAAAAGAAAAAGAAAAAGAAAAAAGAGCTTTGTTGTTTTAAATTAGTTTTTATAATTAAAAATATCACAATCCAAAACAAATAAACTGTTTTTACCTAAGGTAAAGTGTCAAATTTGAGAGATTAATGCAATTTGCTAAAGCAGAACCTAAGCCTGATGCACCTTCATCACCAATTTAATTTTCACTTTTTAAATATTGAAGAAAAAATATATCATTAAATAGTTAATTAGAAGGAAAAAATGAAGCAAAAATTTGAAATAATAAGATTAATTAATTGATAATTAAGGCAAAATTTGAAAATAAAGTGATGAGCTAAATAAACAAAGAAAGAAAGAACAAAAAAAAGCAAACACAATAAAAAGAAAAAGTAAAAAGAGCTTTATTGTTTTTAATTAGTTTTTATAATTAAAAATATCACAATCCAAAATTATGTACCAGTTTTTCATTTTATAAAATTAAAATTTTTAATATTTTTTATGAAATTTTTTCTATCCTAGATTTTTAAAATTTATTTTATTTCAAAAAAAATGATATGTTATGCTTTCTAAAAATTAGCTTTATTTATAATGTTATTTAGATATAATTTAGATAGGTATTTCACTATTGTTAATTAGGAGGAAAAAATGAAGAAAAAATATGAAATAATAAGATTAATTAATAATTAATAAAATTAACAAAGAATTAAAAAATATGAAATCATAATAAAAAGAAAAAGGAAAACAAATCAAATAAATTAAAAGAACTTTAATGTTTTAAATTAACTATTATAATTAAAAATATTATAATATAAAACAAAAAAATAGCTTTTATTAAGTGTAAGTTTTAATAGCAAAAATGAAGAAAAAATATCAAATAATAAAAAATGAATAATAAATAAATAATTAAAAATTGAAATGAAAATTAAGTTAAAATTGCTAAAAAATTTAAGTTTTAATAAAAATCAATGAATAATGATGATAATTTCTTTTATAAATTATTTATTCAAACAAATTTAAAGTAAAATAAACAAAAAATATTAATAATAATAAAAATAATATTTTTTAATCAAATATACCTCAGATCAATATCAATAACCTAATGAGATAAAAATGAAGAGCTTTTAAACTTTTTTTATTAATTTATATAAATTTAAAATATATTAATAAAAAAATTAATAATTACTTCTTCTAAGCTATTGTAATATTTAATCTATTATATCATTTATTTTTTTTTCAAAAATATTGAATAGCAGTTTATGAAATTTAATTAACAAATTAATTAATTATAAATGGATAAAAAGAACAAATAAATATAATAATTAATTAATTAATTATCAAATATTAATTAATTTATTTTGTTTTATGAAGAGATATCATATTCACTATTTAAACTTAATATTTTTATTTTAAACATATACTTAAAAATATATATAGTAGGAATTAAAGACGGGCAGTTATTTATTTAGTAATATTTGAAAAAAACCTGGTAGTTTATTTATTCTTTGCAAATATTCAGGAAATTAACTATAATTATTTAAAGATGAAAGAATGCAGTAAGTAAGTATAAGTAAGATTGTATAAATTTAGATATGAAATACTTAAATAACATTGATTTTAAAGAATTTATTTAATTGGAATTATTATTTATTATTTCTCATAAAAAGAGTTTTTTTACAACTAACCTCTTCATTTTCCAAATCTTAGCTCTTAATTTATTTTTTTATGTATGATTAAGGTCATTAATACTTTTTATATTTTTTATAAGAAAATATATAATTAGAGTTCATATAAAATAAGTAATACATACATACAGAAAATAAATAAATAAATGATTGAAATATCAATAATTTCAAATAACTAATTAAATTCGTTACAGTTTGATTTTCAATTTTTAGAGCCTAATAAATTTGCATAAACCAGAGCATAGGTTTTGAAAAATGTCTTAGGCACTCGTTAGAATGCTTCATTTGATTTATTAGATTAAAATAAAAAAATTATTCAAAATTTTAATCAATAATTGATATTAATAAATAAGCAGAGCTAAAATCTTGAAAAAGAAGAAGTAAGCATAAAATTTATCAGAATGCTTTCTTAATAATTGCTTATATATGCAAATAAACTATTTTTACCCAAATTTAAAATCGAAAGAATAGAGATTATTGCAGTTTGTTAAAGCAAAAAATAACTCTCGCACACCCTGTTCACCAATTTAATTTTGGCTTTAAATTTTACATATAGATTTTTTATAATAAATAAATATAAATATAATTTCTAAAATAAGCAAGAAAAGCAAGTCAAAAATTAGAGTTTTTATTGAATAGAATTTATATCACAGTAAATTAAGCACAATTAATTAAAATTTAGCTATTTTACTTTAGGTTGAGTTTTAACTAAGAGAGATTAGGGAAGCTTAGTAGACAAGAACCTAAGTCTGATATTCCCTTATCACCTATTTAATTAGTACTATTATGATATTAGATTGATTAGTTAGTTAATTAGTTAAAAATAGTCAAAAAGTGAGCAAATAATAATATGAAAAATATCAATATTATATCTAAATCTAAAATAGAAAATTTACATAAATAGTATTTAAAAAAAATATTCTTTTTTTTAAAATTATGGATGATACATAGATACATACAACACATATTGATCCATTGAAAAAATTAAAGAATTAATTAATTTTATTTGTGAAAGTAAAAATATTATTTTTACCTAAGGTTGAGAACTAATTTTTTTAGATAAGGGCATGTTTTTAAAGCAGAACCCAAGTTTAAAATCCCTTATGGACCAATATTATTTTTGCTTTCATATTTTACAAATTAATTTATTAGTATTTATCAAAAAAGATATTAAAAGTTAGCTATTAAAATATATCTTAATATTTAAAATGTTGGTTGATAAACAAATTAAAAATAGAAAATAGCATATATAACTAACTGTTCTTACAAAAAAAGATTAAGAAAACAATATAAAAATTATTGAGAATATAACTTTGATATTTTACTATAGATAGATCTTGAATGTTGAGAGTTAACTGCGATTCATTAAAGCAAATCCTAAATTTGATATTTATTAATCACCAATATTACTATCCCTATAAATTAATTTATTAATTAATTAATTATAGCTTTTTACTAGAAATATAAAAAAAAAGAAGAAATACAAATTAAAGCTATTCATATTTAAATTTAAAATAAGTATGAGATAATTAATATATAAAATTACAACAATTTATCCTAAAAACCAAAAAATATATTTATAATTTAGCAGTAAAATAAAGAATTTATTCAAATTTCTTAAAAGACTTTGTACTTACTTTTGTTTTTTTATTTTTTACATTTTTTTATTGAAATTTTTATTAAACCTCCATTTTTTTTTGAAAGAGGAGTATTTTATTTTCAAATAAAAAATCTATTTTAGGAGGGAGAATAAATTTTTTAGTCTGATAAAAAATTTTTTGATAATAATTGAAAAATAAATAAAAATTTAATTATAATTATTTGAATAATTAATGAAAAATATTGAATGATATTTTTACTATCTCAATCAATAAACAATAAAGTAAGAGAAATAAATAAAATTTCTTACTCTAAGTAGAGTGTTATAGATGAAAGATTTCTACAATTTGCAAGAGAAGAATACATATTTTGGGGGGTCTATTCATCAACTTTGCAGCTTTTTAAAATTATTTTAAGTTTTAACTTTAAATAAAAAAATAATATTTTATTTAAATAATAAATATATTTTACTCAGCATAGAGGCTCAGTTTTTAAAGGTGAGCACATTTCTCTAGACTTGAAATAAAATCTGATACACACTATGCATTTATTAAGTTATAGCTTTATCAAATTAAACATTTTTTTATTATGAAAAAAGTAAAAAAATAAAAAACTTCTAAATTAGATAAAATTAAAAAAATATATGAAGATTTTTACTAGAAATTTATGTCTAGAGATTAGAGAGAGTGGCAGTTTACTAAAGCAGAACCTAAGCTGGATACACCTTAAGTGCCAAATATATTTCTTCTTTTAATCAATAATAAATATGTTTGTTTTTAAATAAAATATATTAAACAATAATCAAAATCAAATTTAAATTTTTTAATATAAAAAATGCTAAGCTTTACGTAAGCTGAAGGGCAAAAGTTTAAAGATTATTACACTTTTCTAAAATAGAACTTAAATTTAATAAATCTTCATCATTTATTTATTTTTAGCTATCATATTATTTATAATCCATTTTTGAGTTAATGTAAAAATAGAAATTAATATAAAAACTTTATGTTGAAAATAAATATTGAATCTAATTTTATTAATTAATTGAAGACAGACAGACAATATTGTTTTTAAATTATTAAGATAATTATCATTTTGTTATTTTAATTATTTACTTAAGATAAAGATTCACGTTTGTGTTAGATGATGGTTCAGAGTTTAAAAACTTTTTATAAAATAAAATATTATTTTATACTATTGTAAAAAGTAAAAATAAAAAATTACATCAGTAAGATTATAAAATATTTGTTTTTATTGCTCCATTTTTTTTAAAGTAATATTCAATTTTTAATAAATTTTATAATAAATAAATAAATATTGGTTTAGTTTTCAAAGAAGCTTTTAGTATTTTAAGTAAATTAATTAATCTGAGTTAATAAAAATAACCTGAGCAATAAAATAATTTAGGTAAGATGATATTATGTATAAGAGTGTTAAAATATAATTAAACAAAATATTGTAAATCCTCATTGTATAATTAATTCATCACATTTTTGAGAAAATTTCAAAATTAAACTATTTATTAACTAAATCACTTTTAGGCTCAATTTTTAAAATTTTTAATTAAATCAAAAAATACACTAACTAACATAGGTGGAATACTAATGAATGATAATTAATAATATGTAAAATTTCAAATAAACTTTATTGAATATCAATAAATAGATTATTATTTCAAACAAATTAACAGAGTATTACATACATGAATATTTTACAACATTTAATCAATCAATTATTTTTATGTATATTTTATTGAGTATGGATATGATTAACAATTAAAATTAATTAATATCTTTGAACCCATCAAAGAAATAAATTTATCTACTGCTCCTAGAATCTTAATATCAAGAGTGAGATGAAGAATTTTTCAGTAAGAGTAACACTTGAGACAAACTAATCTCTTCATTTTATAAATTTTATTTAAAAATTTAATTTATGAAATATCGCTGAGATTATAAAAACTTTTACTATATTTGATTTAAAATATTTTATTTAAATATCTTTATTAAATTAAATGCAAAAATCAAAAAAGTAATCATGGATACTAAGAATTTTATCTTGCTATTTTCTTTAAAAAAATAAATACCAATTAAAATTTTACGGGAAAGTTATTTAAAGAAATGATAGGTTAATGCATTTTAATAAAGCTGAACTTAAATTTGTAAAACCATAGTCTTCAATTTAAGTAAACCTTTTTACATTTTTGAAAATAATGTTAGTTTATTAAAAAATTTAGTTGAAATAAAACTTTATAAAGAAGAGTTTGTTTTAAGTAAATCTAAAATGAAAAATAATATTTAAATAAAAAATCTTAGAATGAATTATATATATATTTCATTATTTTTTTGTAAAAATAAAATAAGGAATTTTTATTTTGCCTAATAGCGAGTGTTAGTGTAGCTAATTTAGTTAAGTGTATTAAACAAGAGCTTAATTCTGATATACCCTAATCACCTATTGAATTCTAGCTTTAATATATTAAGTTTTATTAGTGTAAAATATAAGTAGATGTTCTATAAAATAAGAGTTGAGATTTATAATAAATTTAAATTTAAAACTTAATTAAGCTATTTAATATTCAAAAAAAAATGCTTTGAATCTGTTTATACAAATTTGTTAAAGAGAGAAACAAAAAGTAAATAAGATCTTTTTACTTGAGATTGAGTGTTAAACTTTAGAGATTAGTGAAATTTTTTAGTGCAAAACCTAAGTTTGATGCCCCTTCTACCCCAATATTATTATCACTTTTTAATTATTTATTGTAGCAAGTTATTAATAATTTATTTTAAATGAGTAATAAAGAATTAATATTAAAACTAAAATAAATATTTTATTAAATGTAAATTTTAAATTTTAAAGTAAATAAAAATTGAATAGCATTAAAAAGATTAACAGAATTAAAAAAATAAATAAATATATTTGTCATTCTTACAAGAGGTTTAGATTCAAAGTAGAGAGTTTAATGCAATTTGATAATGCAAATCCTAGCTTTGATATTCCTTAGTCTCTAACATTCATACGCCTTAAAAAAAGAAATAAATCTAAAATTTAAAATTGAAAGTTTTAAATTAAAAATGAATAAAAAAGAGATAATAAAATAAATATCAAATAAAAAAGAATATTTTAATTTTTGAGGTGGTTTCTGGTTTACAGATTGGCAAGTTAATTCGATTTTGAAAAAATAAAATAATGGGATTCATTCTTAAAGTTTTTATAAGTTAAGCTGATAGATTGAATAAAATTTCTTAGATATAAGAAATGTGATTTTTAACAATATTTAATAGTAAAAAATGATATTAATAAATTATTACTCAAGACAGAGTTTAATTGCTGAGAGATTAGTAAATTTTCTAAATGCAGAGTAAAATTCTGATGCATCTTATTCATAAATATAGAAACTTTTCAATATAATTAATTTTTATAAAAAATTAGGGAAATAAGAAAAATAAATAAATGTCAATTAATAAAACTAACTAAAAAAAGAGAAAAAAACTTCATATTTGAATATAATAAATATGTATTTGAATTTAATTTTATCTACTATTTTTCTAATTTAATAAAACAAAAATATTTTTGCAATTTACTTAAACCAGAGTTCTAAATCAAAGAGATTTAAGCATTTTGCTAAAGCATAGACTAATTCTGATGCACTTTCTACACCAATATTTGGATTTTCGCTTTCAATTAATTACGATGAGATAAATTTAAAAAAATAATAATAAATTAAAATGTGTTTATTTAGAAGCAAATAAACACTTAAAATTTTAAATCGTTTTTTGTTTTTAATATCTTATTCAAATACAAAATATAAACTTTAATTAGAAAAACTAATTAATTTTACTAGAGATTTAATTTCAGAATTTATAGATTGGGTAATTTTGATAAAGCAGAACCTAAATAATATGTTCCCTAAGAGCCTAATTAATTTCTTCTTTTAAAATTATAACAAAAAAAATATTATTATTGCTAAGTTTTAGAGAAAAAAATAGAAATATCAAATTTAAATCTAAATAGGTTTTATTTTTACCTCAGATTTAGATACAAAACTGAAAGATTAGTGCATTACTCTAAAATTAAACTGAAAGACTTTAAGTCTTCATCAATAATTTTTTCAGAACTTTTAATAAAAAATATGTTTTGGTTTAAGTAAAAAATAAATAATATATTTTAACAAAACTGAAAATAAAATTGTAAGGTTAATTCAAAGAAAAATTAAAAAAATTTAGTTAATTACTAACTATTTAAAGAAAATTAAATTTTAAAAGAAATTTCTTTTATTATGTTAAATAAATATTTACTTAAACAAACATTAAAGATGTGTGAATGAAGGATAATATTCTTCTAACTTCAAAAACTTTTGATAAAATGAAAAATTATTTTATTAAAATTAGATAAAAATAAATTACTTCTTTTAAATTTTAAAAGGTTGTTTTCTGTTATATCATTTTTTTATTTAAAATTTTATGAATGATAAATTAATTAATTAAATTAATATAAATGCGCTAAGATGTTATTTATTATACACTGTTTGCTTGCTCTTTGCCTTAAAAAGGATAAATTCAGTCTTTATTAAAATATAAAATAAAATTTTGAAAAAAGAAAACAACTAAATAAAATATAGCCTTGAAAAAGGCAGTAGTACCCGAGAGTAAAATATATAGAAATATATAAAATTATTTCAAAAGGCAAAATAATTATTTTTCTAAAACACTTAATTTTAATATTTTCAATACAACTTTAGATATGAATGCCAGTTGCTTAGTAAATAGATTTAATAAATAAAAAGCTAGAATCTAAAAGAGAACAAATAATAAATAAATAAATAAATAATTTTAAGCTTTAATTGATTATGAAATTATCCTTAACAAAAATCTTATTTCTTCTACTTTTTTCTAATAAATTCTTTTGCGCGCGCCCATAAAATAATATTTATTTTAAATTTAACATCGCATTTCTAATATCTATAATTAAAGGCTTTAAATAGCGATAGAAGTATACTTGCTTATAATGATTAATAATATAATTGCAATTTTAATATTTGTATGGAATAGGTAACTCAGATTAACAATTAATAAAATGAAAGCTTCTTAAAAATAACTCAATTATTTTTCTTGATATTATTATTATCTTTGCTTATAAATATTTGATTTGTTTGATCGCACTTAAATTTTCTGATAAAATTTGGGCGCGAAAATTATTTAACTATTAAATGAAAGTTTTTCCTTTGAGAAAATTATATTTAATAAATTAATCATTAAATTACTTTAAAAAAAAAACTTGATAAAAAAGATAAAAATGGACATCTACAAAACCAAAAATAGGCACTTTAGGATAACTAAAAGATAAAATTATGAAAAAGCTTGGTATGAATTACTTTTAAGGCAATTAGAAGTTTGTTTAAAATTTTACAAACCTCATTTTGAGCTTGAGTATTAATATTAACCAGAAGCTAGTTAAGAAAACAAATAATTTGAGTTTCAGTAAAGAAAATTTTACTTAAGCTTGAGTGTCTTTGATAATTAACAAAACATTAAAAAGAGACTTATTGTTTTTGAGAACAGTATAATAAGCCAAAAAGCTATTGACTATTACATTTAGCTATTGAAATACTTTCCTAGAAAGGATTTGATTTATCATATCTACGATTCCTATTACTTAGATAGTAAAAAAACTTTCTATGTCTTTGAAATGGAACATCCTAAAACTATTAATTTCTAAAATTTCATAGATTATTTTGATGTTGTTCAAGATACAATTCAAAAAATCCAAACGGCATTCTGTGATCAACTTATTATTTTTGACAGAGTTTAACTAGCTAAATAATTTAGATCAAGTGATAAAAATAAAATAGATTTATTTAATTAAGAATATTTAATTCGAATTTTTTCAGATTAAACATAAATTGAGACAAGTATGGAAGATATCTAAAAATAAATGTATGCTTAATTTTATAAATAAACACCACTCAGCATTTGTTTTTTTTAATTCGAAGACATTTTTAAAAATAAATTAAATTAAATATATGATTTGAGTGACTAAGAAGAAGAAAATACAGATGATGATAATGAAAATATTTAATAAGAAGATATCGCAAATAACAATGATAATGATAATGATGAGGATGACACATCTTAAAAAGTTGATTCATAAGATTTACTATCTGTATTTTCCTCTATATTTGATTAAGATTCTTAGTTGAATTATTTTACAAAAAGTGAAGATGAGATAGAATCTTAAGAGGGCAGTTTGAACTCAGCCTAGGATCTTTAACATAATGAATGCTAAACTTCAAGCGCTAAATCTTTCCAGCGTTAGAAGTCGAGTTAAAAAGCAGAATCTCAAACTGAAGAGTTTAGCTCTTTAGCGAATCAATCAAGTAAATAAAAGAAATTAAAAGGCAAATAATCTAATTAGCAGCTTTATAAAAAATCAAAAAACAAAAAAAATAATAAACCTAGAAAGAAAAGTTAATAAGTTCATGAATAAATATCTTAAGAATTAATCTCAGAAAACGAATCCTCATCTTAAAGCTAGTAAGAAAATAAGAGTTGTGAATCTTAAAGTGATTTAGAAGAGGAAATTTCTCAAGTAGAAGAAGAGGATATTTCTGAAATAGAAGAAGATGAGATTTCTTAAGTTGAAGAAGAGGATAATGACTAAATCAGTTAAAATAATTCAGAAGATAAAATATCGGAACAATCGAAGCCTTCAGATGAAGAATAAGACTCTATTTTATCTTCGTTTTGGAATTTTGATTAAGAATTATTATAGCAACTAATAGATTTTTAATAAAGTATTTTCATTACAATTAAAAAGGATAGTCTTGTAACTAAAATAAAAGAAATCTATCCAGATATCTTGAATTACCATCAAGAGGATATATTCTTTTTACTCCAACAACATCCCAAGTATGATGATTTCGAATTACTTTCATACAATTCTGAACAATTTAAGCTCAAGTGCAGGAAAGATGATAATGATTTCAAAACATTGTTGGTTAAGAAATTTAGTTGCTTTTAAAAGATTTAAGAAGAAGAAAAACTAATAAATTAATTAGCAAATATCACAAACAATTTAATTTTCACAGAAATTTTACTTCTAGAAAAATATTCCTACCTTTTAGTAGAATAAAAGTATTTTTAACCCAACAATCAGATTTATTTGTATCCAAATTTTGAAGATTTAATTAAATAGTTAAAATATTAAAATTAATTAAAATTTTTAATATTTAAATTATTTATCTAAGTAAGCTATGAATTATTTTCTAGATACAAAATAAAAATTACTAACGTAAGTCCTTCCAAAATTTTCTTTTATGGTAACCATAAAACTATTAATGGGGAGAAAAATTTTAGAGTAATCATTAAAGAGATAAGTTAAGAAAGGTTTGATAAATAATACATAGATTTAATCAAATCTGATGAAGCAGAATAGGAATTAAGCTAATATTATGAAGATAATAGCAAAAAAAATTTAGTAACTTTAATGATTTAGTTTATTAATAACTTGAATGACCAATCTTAAGAGGATATATTCAATATTTATAATTAGATTTGTTAACATATAAACTTATTGCTATATTTTGAAAACAGTTATGATATGAAGATTATTAATAACAATAAGTTACATTAAGATTTTGTAATTAATGATCGTTAATATTCATATCAATAAGAATAATTAACTACATCATTAGGAATTGATCTAGCTCATTATATTGAATTAACAAATGATATTTTTGACAAAAACTTAATTATTTACCACAATTTCTTTAAATTAAACGAATGGAGCTTGCCTTCAGATTAACAAGAAGAGTTTTAGAAGCATTTAAATTTATTCTATAGCTATTTAGAAAAAATCAATTAAAAATAGGATAACCTACATGAAAAAACTTTATAAAAAAACGATGATTAGGAAATATCAAGTTAGAAAGAGCTAGATGAAAATTAAATTAAGAAAATAGTAAATTTAAATTAATCTTCTATTCTTCTTGAATTAAAGGCTTTAATCAGTATCTGCTTTGAGCATAATCTCAAAAAAAAGGTCTCTTGTAACATAGAAATTACTGATAATCAATTATTTGAAAATTAAACGCACTTTACTTCTTATGATTATTAATATTATAAAATTTCTAACGATTTATTAAAACAAAAATCTTAAGTTGTTAAAATAGAATTAAAGAAATCTCTTTCAAAAGTAGAAATAAGTTTTGTAAACTTTCAACAAAAAATATTTGTCATGGACCTCACTGATTCTTATAGTAATCTTAAGTATTACGAGTTAACTAAGGAAAATTTTAGCCTTGCCAACCTACAAAGACTTATGAAAAGAATTTTATATTATGATGAAATATAGAATAATGATATAAAATTGAATTTTAAATTGCTATAAAATTTCGAAAATTTATAAAGATTGGCTTTAAATTTAAGTGAGGAAAACTTGTATGAGACTTTAAAGGATTATGAATAAATATAGTTATTTAGGTAGCATTAAAAAATACTATAGATGAAATTGTAAGTAAATTATCAAACTTAAGGATTACCAAGGTTAATAAAACATATCAATTTCATTAAAGATTTAAATACAATTATTATTGATGATGATGATTTTAATTTTGATGAAGAATATACAAAAAAGTCGAACAAATTCATTAATTAGCTTAAAAAACTAAAAAGGGTTACTGTTGTTAAAAGCACAGCTGATTATTTGAATGACGATTCTGTTGATTCTATTGAAAATGAATGATCTATGATTTTAATTAAATTTTTTTCTTCAAACAAATTTATTTTTTTGTATTTTGTTTTTTAAATTTAATTTTTTTATCTCAAATCAAGTAATTTTATTCATTATGTTTTGAAAAAATTCTATTATTTTTTTACTTTTCATTGTCATTTATTAGATTTCAAAAATAAAATCATATATGATCAATTAGATTCTAATTTTTTCTTATCCTTAAAAATATAAATTCCTCAAAGCTCCAAAAAATTCAAAAAAGTAAAACACCAAGAATTAAAAATTTAATATTTAAATTTATAAAAAGTCATATAATACTTATTTTTAAAAACATAAAATTAAAATTTTTATATATAGTTAAATAAAATAATTTGAAAAGTTGTTTGAATTCAATAAATTTAAATTAAGATGAAACTAGTTTTGCCTTTCCCTACTTATTTTCCAATTTCAGATTTGGCTAACTAGAGTTATTACAGTAGTTTAATCAGATTGTTAAAATAATAATGTTTAATTTTCCATAATAGCATTTAAATATACAAATTTCTTTAATTTAAATAAATAATAATTAATTCATTAAATTAACACTTATATAACATAAATTATTTCAAAAATTGTTATTTTCACATTTTCAAAAATCCTTACTCATATAAAAATAATATAGAAATCTGAAAAAAATCAATATTTTTTAAAAATAAAAAATTAAAATTTTTTAAAATGATACCAAACAACCATTTAATATTCATTTAAAGAAAATATAATTTATAATTTAAAAAATGAATGAAAACAAAAAAAAAAAACATTTGATAACACACATAATTTTGTGTGATCTCATATAAACAATTTTTATTTTTCAGCAAATTCTATAAAAAAATTATCTCTGCACTTATTTGAGCTGTGTGCAATATGATTTATTTAAAAGCAAGATCAAATATATAATTTTGAATAGTTTTTTGATTGCAGTCAACTTAAGAGGCGAGTATTAAAAAGATGTCAAATACCCCTCATATTTTAACTTACTTACTTTCTTTATATTGATAATATTTTTCATTTATTCATATTGAAGAATTTAAACTTTTATATTAAATATATTTGTAGTTTATTTGATTTTAGTAAAATTAATAGATTTCAAATATATAAAATCATACCAGAAGGCTATTCCTCTATATCAGAACCAATTAAAATAATAAATTCATATACTTTATCTGTATATATGTATGAACTAGTATTTCAATTTAAATTAAATATGAAATTTATACTAATTTTATTTATCTTCTTAAGATAAATTTAGGAGTTATAAATTATGGCGGTTAATTTACTTTAAAATCTTTTGCTAAATGTTTTTTAATGATTGATTGAGTATATGAAAATATTACAAAAATTATAAACATCTCTTAAAAACTTTTTATAGAAATTAGAATGAATAAAAATGACTGAAAAAATATTTTACAACTTAAAAATGAAAAGAGTTTGATCAAAAATGTAAATATTCAAAACCATCAAAAAATTAATTAGATAAAGTTAAGAAGTATTAAGGAAAAAATATTAAATATTAACAAAAAATATAATTAAATAAATTTATATTTAAAAATTTCAAGATTAGGTTAAACAAATTTAAGATAATTAATAGAAGTTAAAATATTTTTAATTAATTAAAAGACATAAATAAATGAATGAATAAATGTTTTTTTATCACGTAAAATTGTATAATTCAAATTTTTTTAGCAATTCATTTGTTAATTCTAGAATTTTCACCTATGAATACCCACTACTTCCATATTCAAAAATGAATGAAACATTTTTGGTTAATATCATATTTTCAGGAATTTAAAATGTTAAGAAACCTTAGTAAAGTTATTTGTTTGGCAGATTTTCTTCTTTGATTTGACAATAATCACTATATTATAGATATTAATAAATATTTTAGCCAAAAAGAAGTAGCATAGAAGATCTAGGATTTTGTAAAGGACCTTTCGAGTTGTTTCCTTAAACTGTAAAGTCAATCACAATATGCTTTTTACTGAAATTAATTTTTTGAATTTCACATTAATAATTTTTATTATAAACGCTTTTACATTCATTTAACTCTATACTTAGTTTCCTGTCTTTATAAAACTGATTAAATGATTCTCTACTGAAGATTTGATTTTTAACCTACAAATTTAGATATTTGAAATATTATTGCCAAAGAGTGGACTCTTCAATAAGGCTAGTTAAATTTACTGATTTAAATGTTAAAAAGAGGTTGAAAGATTCATGAGGGTATAAGAATGAGAAGATTTAGAATAAAATTTTTTTTGAGAGCTATTAAATTTTAAACTATTTTAAATATTTTTTTTCAATAAGCTAAAATAATTCAAATTTTCTCAATTTGTCATTAGTTATTTAGAAGATTTTTGTTTCTGAATATCCACCTTGCCCAAATTCAAAAGAAAATTCCATATTTGGAATAATTTTCATATTTGAAGGCTTTTAGTAAGTAAGAAAGCCATCATAAATTTACTTTGATTAATTATTATTTTCTTCTTTAAAAATACATTAGTCAATTAAAAGATTCAAATTTCTATTATTCACTGATAACTTAGAACCCAAAGGATTTTATAACTAACCAAGAGAGTAGTTTCCTTCAACCCTAAAATCAATCTAAATATTTGTTTTTCTAAAGCCAATCTTCTTAATTTGGCATTAATAATGTTCATTGTAAACGCTTTTGCATTATTCCAGCTAAAATCCAAGTTACCTGTTTCTATACAATTGAAAGAAAGTCTCTCTGTTGATTTCTTCATCATTATGCTCCAATTCTAAATATTTGGCATATTACTTCCAAATAGTAGATTCTTGCATAACTCTGTTCAAGCTATTCGATTTGAAGGTCAAAAATAAATTCATTGACTCATGTGGAAGAAGAAAAAAGCAAATAAAGTTTAAGATGTTATGTGAAAGTTCTTAAAACTTAAACTTTCCAATAAATTTAGACTATAAATTTCCTATCTCATGATAATCTTTTACTGTAAATAATTTGATTGACTGTTTGTTATAAATTGAGTATTTAAAGTAAATGTTATCAAATATTCTTAGATTATCATAATGGTAGAAAGTGTTAATCTAATTTTTATTTGGTTCATTTTTTTCCTTTTTGATTTCTGTAAGGCTAAAGTCTTTTTTAAGCTATTTGTCTTCTATATAAAGTTGGAATAGATCATCTCTTAAAACATCATTTTAAGTAAGACAATCAGAAGTCTGCATTGATAACTTAATTCTGTTTGAAGAGAACCCTATCTGCAAAATACTTAATTCGTTTTGACTATTTTCTACTAAATGCTATTCACTTAAGTCAAAGACTTTATACTTTTTCTAAGCTTCTTACATCTTGCTTACTTATTTATTTGCTCTACTTTTTTTGAGTTCTTATCAATTAATTCTAATTCTTAATTAATGAATAGCTTATTCGCATTCTAAATTAATTTATTATTTTATAAGTGAAAACTAATCAGCTTTGTATTTATGAAATCCAGTCAGTAATACTATCTTGCAGAATTTGAAGCACAAGAATTTAATTCCTTCTAGATATACATAAATTAGATAATAAAATAAAATAGACATTTTTAAATTTAGATACTAAGCCTTCTTCCTTTTATTTATTATTTAGTTATTAATTGTAATAATAATTTTATATATTATAATACTTCTTATTTTTTTTATTTATTTAGAATTGAAGTTGAATCTATTTGAAAAGTATAATTCTGCTAAAGAACCCTTCAAGTAATATACATCTTTTTCTAAAATATGAAGATTCATAGTGATATTTTAATTAAATTAAAATTTTGTATAATATTTATTAGAAAAATATAATTTATTTGCTTTAGAAATTAGAATAAATAAAAATGACTGAAAAAAGTTAATATTACTTAAAAATGAAAAGAATTTGATCAAAAATGTAAATATTCAAAACCATAAAAAATTAATTAGGTGAAGTTATGAAGTATTAAGGAAAAATATTAAATAATAACAAAAAATATAATTAAATAAATTTATATTCAAAAATTTCAAGATTAGGTTAAACAAATTTAAGATAATAAATAGAAGTTAAAATATTTTTAATTAATTAAAAGACATAAATGAATGAATAAATATTTTTTTATCACAAAAAATTGTATAATTCAAATTTTTTTAGCAAATCACTTGTTATATTTAGAATTTATGCCTATCAATATACCCATTACTTCCATATTCAAAAATGAGTGAAACATTTTTGGTTAATATAGTATTTTCAGGAAATTAAAATGTTAAGAAGCCTTAGTAAAGTCATTTGTCTGGCAGATTTTCTTCTTTAATTTGACAATAATCAATAAATTATAAATATTAATAACTATTTTAACCAAAAAGAACTAGCGTAGAAGATCTAGAATTTTGTAAAGGACCAAGCGAGTTGTTTCCTTAAACTGTAAAATCAATAACAACATGCTTTTTACTGATAGTAATTTTCTGAATCTCACATTAATAATTTTAATTATAAACTCTTTTACAATGATTTAACTCCATACTTAGTTTCCTTCCTTTCTTTATAAAACTAGTTAAATGATTATCTACTGAAGATTTAATTTTTAACCTACAAATTTAGATATTTGAAATATTATTGCCAAAGAGTGGACTCTTCAATAAGGCTAGTTAAATTTGTTGATTTAAATGTTAAAAAGAGGTTGAAAGATTCATGAGGGTATAAGAATGAGAAGATTTAGAATAAAATGTTTTTTAAGAGCAATCAAATTTTAAACTATTTTAAATATGTTTTGTCAATAAGCTAAAATAATTCAAATTTTCTCAATTTATCATTAGTTATTTAGAAGATTTTTGTTTCTGAGTGTCCATTTTGCCCAAATTAAAAAAAAAATTCCATATTTGGAATAATTTTCAATTATGCAGGCTTTTAGTAAATAAGAAAGCCATCATAAATTTACTTTGATTAATTATTATTTTCTTCTTTAAAAATACTCTAGTCAATTAAAAGATTCAAATATCTATTATTCACTGATAACTTAGAACTCAAAATATTTGATAACTAACGACGATAATAGTATCCTTCAGCCCTAAAATCAATCTAAATATTTGTTTTTCTAAAGCTAATCTTCTTAATTTGGCATTAATAATGTTCATCGTATTGCCTGTAAACGCTTTTGCATTATTCAAGCTAAAATCCAAGTTACCTTTTTCTATACAATAGAAAGAAAGTCTCTCTGTTGATTTCTTCATCATTATACTCAAATTCTAAATATTTGGCATATTACTTCCAAATAGTAGATTCTTGCATAACTCTGTTCAAGCTATTCGATTTGAAGGTCAAAAATAAATTCAGTGATTCATGCGGAAGAAGAAAAAAGCAAATAATGTTTAAGATGTTATGTGAAAGTTCTTAAAACTTAAACTTTCCAATAAATTTACACTTTAAATTTCCTATCTCATGATAATCTTTTACTGTAAATAATTTGATTGACTGTTTGTTATAAGTTGAGTATTTAAAGTAAATGTTATCAAATATTCTTAGCTTATCATAATGGTAGAAAATATTAATCTAATTTTTATTTGGTTCATTTTTTTCCTTTTTGATTTCTGTAAGGCTGAAGTCTTTTTTAAGCTATTTGTCTTCTATATAAAGTTGGAATGGATCATCTCTTAAAACATCATTTTAAGTAAGACAATCAGAAGTCTGCATTGATAACTTAATTCTGTTTGAAGAGAACCCTATGTGCAAAAAACTTAATTCGTTTTGACTATTTTCTACTAAATGCTATTCACTTAAGTTAAATAATTTATACTTTTTCTAAGCTTCTTACATCTTGCTTATTTTTTTATTTGCTCTACTTTTTTTTTAGTTCTTATGAAATAATTCTAATTCCTAATTAATGAATAGCTTATTCACATTCTAAATTAATTTATTATTTTTTTAGTGAAAACTAATAATCAATCTTTTGTATAAATGAAATCTAGTAATTACTTTCTTGCTGAATTTGAATCACAAGAATTAAATTCTTTCTATATATGCATAAATTAGAATTTTTAAATTTAGATACTAAGCCTTCTTCCTTTTATTTATTATTAAGTTATTAATTGTAATAATAATTTTATATATTATAATCCATCTTATTTTTTTATTTATTTATTAATAGAATTGAAGTTGAATAAATTAAAAAGTATAATTGTTTATTTAGAGATAAAAAAAATATTACAAAAATAGATAAACTATAAATATTACTACCATACATACATAAATGAAACAAAAAGTATTTTTAAATGCATTATCAATTTATCTAAATTAGATGTTATATTTATTATCTTTCTTATATTTTTATTCATTTTTAATTTATTTTAAAAAATAATTTCATGTCATATTCCTCATATTCATGCTGAGCATCATAAAAATAATTACAATACTTTAATCAATCTTTTGCACTTTCTCATTAACAAATTTTTAAATAGCTTTTAGTGTGTATCTTAGTTGTTGTTTTAGTATTAACGTTTTTAGATCACAATATAATTAATATGTTTTAAGTTAATAATAAAATGAGTTAATTTTTAATAAAGATCATAGCTTAATAAGCTTTTTTTTAATAATAAAAAGTAAGTTAACTAATTTAGCAAAATAATAATGTGTAAAATAAATTAATTTACTCAATTTTAAAGTTAAAGTAGGAAAGCTGTTATAATTTTGCTAAACTTTATATTTAATTATAAATGTTAATTTGCTTAGTTGATAAATCTTGTGTGCTTTTTTATATTTTTTAAAATAAATTAATTTTAAAAATAAAATCTTTTAATTGATATTTTCTTTAAAAAATTAAAAATAAAAAAACAATCTAATGATTAATTTATGGCAAAGAAATAACTAAAGAGATAAATAAATCATAAATACATACCTCAAATCAATAGTGAAATATTAAAGTTTAGTGAAATTATTTAATCCGTAAACTAACTCAAAAAAGCTACTCCTTGAGATTTTGTTTTTCCTTTAATATATAATAGAAAAGTAAGTTTAAAATTATATAACTTTAAGTATAATGAACAACATTCATTTTAAGCATAAATAAATAAATCTTTCATTTACCTTAAATCAAGTTCTAATCTATTTAGGTTTTTAATTTAATCTAAGGCTTTCCTCAAAAATCTCATATCTAAATATGTAAGTTTGTTTTCGCTTTTTTTAATTAATGAATAGATAGATAGATAGATTTCAAAAATTTTTAAATCAAAAATTATTAAAAGTTACTAAATGAAAATAAATGAGCTTAATTAAAAAGTTAATTATTCTTTAAAAATGTTTTTATTTATTTATTGAGTCATTAATATATATAAATAGATGTTTTGAAAAGAGCTGTACCTCAAATCTATAGAAAGATTTTAAAGTTTTGTGCATTTATGTAATCCAGATATTAAATCAAAAAAACCTTTGCTTGAGATCCCATTTTTACTTTCATATAAAATAAAATGTTTTAATTATCAATGATATAAATAAATAAATTATTTTCAATATATTTTAGTCTAGAGTTTTTTACTTTAAATTAAGTTTTAATGTGTTTAGAGTTAGAATTTTTCCTAAGCTTTCTCCTAAAGCTTTAAATTATTCAAATTATAGATTGCTAAGGTTTTAAAAAAATAAATTAGTGTAGAAATAGAAAAAAAGTAAGTAAGTAAGTAAGTAAGTAAGTAAGTAAGTAAGTAAGTAAGTAGTATTGATTAAACACTATGGTAAATGGAGTGTTGACGATTTTGTAAAAACGGAACAACATCTTGAATGAAAATATTTTAATTAATTAATAAATAAAAAAAATTACCCAATTTCGAATACCAAAGACAAAAGATTCTTGCAATTCTATAACTAAGATACCAAAAAAAGTAAATTTTGGTCATTAACATTAACTGAACTTTTGTAATAATATAATTTATTAGAAGGATTAGGGAAGCTTTTTCCTGTAATTCCTCTTGAATTTAAAGAGGGATTATAGTAATTATTTTGTATAGATAGATAATTATTAAATACTTTAAGTTAATGGAAAGTGACTCTAAATATTTAATATTTCCTAATTCATTTCCCAAATCGTTTAAGCTTGTGATTATACTGCCGCTATTTTGATTGATTGATTGATAAATGAATGTTATAAGATTGAATTCATAATTATTTTAAAGTATTTTAAATTTTTTGTTTGTTTGTTTATCATCAAAATTAATGAATTAATTATCTCTCTCTGGATAATTTCAATAAAAAAATGTTATTTACTTTAAGTCTAAATTTAATTCCTTAAGTTTATCACATTTCAGAAACAAAGATTTTAGACTGATTCCTTTAAAACTATTGCAACTTAAAAAAAATTTAAAGAATCTTAAAAAATAAAAAATTTTACTTCAAAATGATCTAATTTTTCTTTTTTGTCACCTTACGCTTACTTTTAATTGCTTTCTGATTTAATACTTGATACCTATAAATAAGTAAAAGTAATTTTATTTTTTAGGAAAACAAACATTAAGATATTTCATATTTTTATTTTTAGTGTTTATCTAAGTTCAACTTTTAAGCTTTCTAAGTTTGGCAATTTTTCAATTTAATCATAAACTTAATGAAATTATTCCCTGTCTTAAAAGGTTTATCTTTGGTTTTAATAAAATATCATTGATTTCTTTAAAAAATAAATATGGATTTTTTATTTAAAAATAAATAATTTTTTTATGAGATTTTTCTCATTTATTTATATAAAACTAAGTTGGTTGGTTGATGTTAAAAAAATAGAAACACTTTGATCAATGAAAAAAGTAAATAAATAAATAAATCTATTATTTAGGAGCAGCCTCTAAAAAAGAGTAATTATTTGACAATGGAAACATTATTAATACTTACATTAATCTAAGAACCAGAGTTTTTAAATTGATCAGATCTCTTAATTGAATTTGTAAATCTCTACATTCATTAGCATAGTAACTAAATATATTTTAAACAAAATAAAAAATTTATTTGCGAAGAAATAATTTTTAGAAATTCAAAAATAATTTTGAATGATCCTAGTTACCCATCAAGATAAAATTATGTATTAATTTCTAATTTAGTCAATTTTTTGCAGTTTTGTGTAGATATTTATAGATCTCCCCCATATGGATCATATCTAATAATTTAATTAATAATATACTTATATGAACATAATAATATCAAATTCAAGTTGCAATTTATTTTCAATAATTTCTATCTCAAAAATTAATTTGTTAATTTACTAATATCAAATAAATTTCTTGATTATAACAATATATAGATAGCTGTTCCTTCCTGCATTTTAAATATCACCAACCAACCTTGATGATATCATGATTTGTGATCTTTCAAATAATAATTATACCATAAAATCTTGTTAACTCGCAAGATGCAAATTCAAATAATTTTAAAGTTATTGAGGTTTTAAAACCAGGAAGGACTGGCTATACATAATTTTAAATATGTGTTGCAACAAGAGATACCACAATAATTAAATTAATTTTGATAATTGAAAAATTATAATTCTTACCTGCTAAAATAAAACTCTTTAAGGCTTTAGTAATCTTCAATCCCCTTAATAATCATTGAAGAATTCTTCAATTCTTTATTACAACTGTATTCCTTTACTCTAAAATATTTTAAAAATTGAAATAAAATTATTTTTTTAAATAATGTGAGAAAAGAAAAATAATTTGGCGTAATCTTAATTAATTTAATGATAAAAAAGAGAAAAGTTGAATTAAATCTAAAAAGATTGAATTTACATTTTTAGATCAAATCGCTCTAATTTTTAGCATTTTTTTATGTCAACAAGTATGTCTTCAAAAGATTTTTTTTTTAAAGAATAGATCCTGTTGTTAATTTTATTCAAAAAAATGTACTTTTTATAGCATTCTTATATTTTTACTTTATAAATAGGTCTAGCTAAGTGAGATTCTGGCAGTTTCCAATACCAAAACCTTAGCTAGTATAGCCTTTTGGATGGTCATGATTACAACTTTAAGTTTAATAAGAAACAAAAACATATTAAATTTAATTATCTTTTAATATTAACTTAATTAGAATAAAATTTAAGCAAATAAAAATTATTTTAATCAAAGAAAGTTTAAATTTATTGTAAATTAATTAATTAATTAATTAATTTGCTACGGCTTTAAAATGGCTTTAAGTGTAAGATAATATAATTTCAGGCAATTTTTAAAATGTACAAAAAAATCAGTTAAAGCACAATCATTATATTCGTCTTATCTTATTTTTTAAAACAAATAAATAAATAAATTATGGATGGATTAATTTTTTTTATTTAATAAAACTAAAATTTTATTTACTATAAATCAAGTTTAAGTATTGAGAGATTTACACAGCTTCCAATACCTTAGCCTAAGCAAGATAAACTTTATTAATCTATTTTATCACAACTAACATTTAAAAAAATTTTAACTTCATTTTTATAAATATTTTTCAAAAATATAAACAAATAAATATTAATTAACCTTAATTTTAGGTGAATCTCTGTGACATATTTTTAATTTTTGAAAGATGAACCAAATGTATCAAATTCTTTAAAAGTAATTTCTGTTACACTTTTTATTTAATATTAACAATCAATTATTTTATTTAAATATTTAATTTTATTTTTTTTTTATGCTTACTCCCTTATATCTAGATAAATTTTGTTAAATTTAGTCAGTTTTTCTAGGCAATATGATAAATCTGATATTGTTTCATTATTCAAACTTTATTTTTAAAATATTTTAGGATTGAAAATCAAATTTATTAATGAAATATTGGTTATTAATTAATTAATTAATTGATAAATAACTATTCATTATAATTTGAAAATTATTAATTTATGACTTTTTTTAAGTTTTCTAAAAAATTAACAATAGTCAATTTAAAAATAATCTAAGTTTTAAAAAATAGTAGAAAAAGATAGAAAAATAAATAAATAACAAACATGCTCTCAAATTTTTTTAGAAAATATATTTTATTATTCATGTCTCAAGATTTATTAAAACCCTATTTTTCAAAAATCTTTTCTTGAACTGAAAATTATTAGATTTTATTTATTTAAGTCACTTAATCAAATATCTGATAAAATTTTCAATCTATCAATAATTTATTTATTTTTGTCAATAAAAATTTGATAATTAAAGTATTATTTAATCTTAATAAAATTTATTTGATAATTTTCTTTTAAAAATGAATGAACTTTACTCTAAATAATCTAATTTAAGAGCAAAAAAATACTATGTCTCACTCTCCTCATCCTTCATTAGTTATCTATTAAATTTTAATGATATTTAATTTTATTTGATGATAAAAAAGAAATAAGCAAATATCAATTTTGATTAAATTTAAAAATAGTAAATAAATAAGCTTATTTATATATTGAAATATTTAAAATATTTTAGTCTTTATTAAGAAGATTACAAAATACTAACAAAATTAATTATTAAATACACTATCATTTTTAAAAAATAAGTAATTTCTTACGATAATATACGTACATAATATAATATATCTGAAAAAATATCATCTCCTATTTCTATAACTTCTAAGTAAGATTTATCTGATACAATATATTCATCTATTTCTTCTATGTAAGGTATATTCATTTTTATTCTAAAAAGTATTTTTTTAATAAATTAAATATTATAATTAAACTGATAGATCTAATCAATTAATTTATATATATATGGCCAAAAAATCAATTCTTTTAATCTTTCTTAATTTAAATTCAGAATTCCGAGCTTTAAAAAAGATAGATAGATAGATACAAAGTATTTCTGCAAATAACCATTTTAAAATCAAATAAAAAGTTCAATGCTTCTTAATTCTATCTATTCAAAAATCAGATTTTTCTCATAAAGATAAATAAAATAATTCGCAAAAAGGGCAAGCAAAAATTTATTTAAACAATAAAAAGATATATACATACATACATATCTTAAGATGGAATAGTAACTTTATTTTGGTTCAAATTTCAATATTCAATTATAAATTAAAAATTTTACACAGAAAATTGGTGTAAAACAACATAGAGAACAAATAAGTATTTTTTCTTATTTGATAGGATGAATAGAAATTCATATTATAATTGATAAAAGTTAAACAAAAAACAAATAAATAAAAAAGCATTTCATCTCAATATTAATAAAATTTATAAATTCATTTATATATTCTTTTATTAATTCAAATTAAAAATAGATAGATAGATAGATAGATAGATAGATAGATAGATAGATAGATAGATAGATAGATAGATAGATAATCGCTATCAAATTAAACAAACAAACAAACAAATAAATAAACAAACAAACAAAGAACAAATAAGCATTTTATCTTATTTCAAATTGTGAAAAGAAATTCATTCTTAATATAATTAAAATTTCTATATTCTTTTATTAATTTAAAATATAAACAAATAGATAATTGATATCAAATTAAACAAACAAACAAAGTACAAATAAGTATTTTATCTTATTTCAAATTATGAAAGGAAATTCATTCTTAATATAATTAAAATTTCTATATTCTTTTATTAATTTAAAATATAAATAAATAGATAATTGATATCAAATTAAACAAACAAACAAACAAAGAACAAATAAGCATTTTATCTTATTTCAAATTATGAAAGGAAATTCATTCTTAATATAAATACAATTTCTATATTCTTTTATTAATTTAAAATATAAATAAATAGATAATTGATATAAAATTAAACAAATTTATAAATTTAATTTGATCTGTCTGTCTTATAATTATTTGTTGTTTTTATCCAAATAAACTAACTCTAAATATAATTAAAATTCTCTAAATACATTTATAATTAATTAACTTTCCATAAATTGATTATCAATATCTTTGAAAGAAAAAACAAATGATATAATAGAAAAAAAATATAAACTAAATAGAAGAAGATGCTATTTATTTTTCTTAATTTAAATAGTTTATAAACTCTTCTCTTTAATCTCATTCATTTCTCCATATTGATTTCTAGTAAGTTAAATTTATTATTATAAATATCAATCTTTATTTTTAATATTTAGTTATCAAATTATTATTACAGTATTATTTTTCTAATAAATAAATAGATATTCTCATCTATATCTATCTATCTAGGATTTTTATATTTGCAAATATTTTAAAAAATAACTTTAACTGATTTTTTATTTTAAACATTTACTTTGATTATTAATTAATCCGTTTCTAATTATTTAAAATTTATTTTCAATATTTAAAAAGAAAGAATTTATTTGATGATTTGAATGTATCAGAATTAGGTTAAACTTTAGCAAAGTGCACTAATCTCTAAAATTTGATACTTAATCTTAGGTAAAAAGAGTTTATTTGTTATTGATAGTGATAGTGATATTTTTTAATATAAAAATGAATTTAAAAAAAAAAATATTTAATTTATTTAATAATTTTGGTTGTATTTTTTATTTGAGATAAACTCTTTTTTTCATTTTCAAATTTTACTTTAATAAATTAATAATTAGTTTGTTTGCTTCTTATTATTTCATATTATCTCTTCATTTTTACTTGTAATAAGCTAATTTATTATATTAAAATATCTTCAATTTTAAAAAGTGACAATAAAATTAGTGCAATTGGTGCATCAAACTTAGGCTCTTCTATAGCAAACTGTACTAATCTTTAAAATTTGAAGCTTTATCTCAAGTAAAAATAGTTTATTTGCTTCAATTTTGATATTTTTTAATATAAATAAAATTAAAACAATATAATCATATTAATTTATTTATTAGCTTTTTATTTGATTTATTTTTCTTTTTTATTCTATTCTAGCAGTTTTTTTCTCTTATTTTAAATTATTTTTTCATTTTCAACTTAAACTTTGATGATTAGTTAATTAGTTATTCATTTCTTATTATTTTATATTTTTTATTCATTATTTTCTTCTAACTAATTAACTAACTAATTAATTATTTATTTTTTTTTAATATTTAAAAAGTAATAATGAAATTGGTACAATTGGTGCGTCAGGGTTAGTTTCCGCTTTAGCAAAATGCACTAATCTCTCAGAATTGACACTTAATCTCGAGTAAAAGCATTTATTGGTTTTAGATCGTGAAATTTTTTATATAAAAATGATTTAAGACAACAAAACTCTTTTAATTTATCTATTAATTTATATTTTATCATTTTCTTTGATTTATTTTTCTTTTTTATTTTTATCTATTTAGTAACCTGCAAGTTTACTTACTTACTTACT